GGTCGGGGCGGGCTCGCGCGGCAGCATGGAGGAGCTGAGCAGCGTGGGCGAGCAGGTCTTCGCCGCCGAGTGCATCCTGAGCAAGCGGCTCCGCAAGGTGCGTGCGGCCCGGTCCGCGCCCGCCCCGCGCCCGCCCGCCCCGGCTCACGCGCCTCTTCTCTCCCTGCAGGGCAAGCTGGAGTACCTGGTCAAGTGGCGCGGCTGGTCCTCCAAGTGAGTCCCCGACGACGCGGCGCGCGCCTTCCCGCCCGCGCCACCTCGGCCCCGGGGGGCGGGGGCGTCCGCGCGCTGGGCGGGAAGTTCGCGGGGTCCCTGCGGGCTCGGCGGGAAGGGGGCGCGCAGCCTTGCGCGGGGCAGCCCTTTGTTTACGGGCCCGCGGGGCGCGGGGCTGGGCGGCCTCCCCCGGAAGCCCCTCCGGCCCCGCGCCCCGGCCCGCTTCCCTCCCGCGCCGCGCGCTCTACCCGCGCCCATTTGTTGCTTGCGCCCCCGGCCCGCCTCAGCCCTCCCCGCGGGACGTGAACCCCCCTTCTCCCGTCCATATTTTCCCCGCTGTAACCTGAGCTTCCTATTGATGGGTGTAGGGCTCTTCCCCCCCCCCTTTTAAAGTAAGGAAGGGGACTTGGCATCCCCGGAGGGGGCTGTTTACAGCCCCTCGGGCACACCCGTTTCCCCTTTCTTCCCGGACCCCCACTTTTCTTTCTTTGCTTTCCCCTCCGGGTGCCCTGGCCCGCGCTCGCTTGGGCGCCAGCCACATTGTTCTGAATCTTTGGGCAGCGCTTCTGTGCCCCTCGGCCTGCCCCTCCCTGCATCCTGGAGCAGCCTTCCCTTCCCTCGCTGGATCCGGGCCAGGCTTTGGGGGCTTCCCTCCCGGCAACTTCCCATTTTATTGGGATTTGTTTTCCTCCCAGGGGGAGACTGTGGAGTTTTCCTGAGTCCGCATGTTAGTTAATTGAGGATTGAGGTGGTGGTTTCCCTTGGAGTTTGGGGCTGAGGTATTGGCTTTAAGGCCCCCAGTCTCCAGGAACTCATCCTAGGCACGGGTGGGATTTAGGGGGACTCTGCCACAGCACCCCAGTGCCCTTGCCATCAGCAGGGATTGGAGGGCAAGGGGGCGGCCCCACTCCACCTGGTTTCTGAAGTGGCCTTTCCCGGCCTGGTGTTTCTTGACGCCTTGCATTTTGCTTTTACAGACATAACAGCTGGGAGCCAGAGGAAAATATCTTGGACCCAAGGCTGCTCCTGGCCTTCCAGAAGAAGTGAGAAAGTTAACAGCACGTGTGGGAAGGGGGAGAGTGTTGGGGAGACCGTGGCCTGTCCTGTTGTGGTTCAGGGCCAAGCAGGCCTTCTAGGGGTTCTGGGCTTAGGCTGTGTGGTCTGAGGGCCTCCTGTGCTGGGGCTGTCGGTGGAGGTGGGCCGAGCTTTGAGGTCCCAGATGAGCCCCTCCCCTGCCTTCCCTTGGCTGGCCAGCACCGTGTCCAGAGCTCAGAAGTCACTGCATTAGTGCTGCTCTGGGTCCTTCTGACAGCCATACTTGCAAAAATGAACCTTCTTGGTTCCTTCCTGAAAAGTTATGGCTTCTCTTGTTGGCCTTTTCTGTTGAGTCATTTGTCAACAGCACTAATAAGAACTAGGATGGCAGGTTTGCCATAAAAATAGTGGTCTGGCCGCCCAGTGCTCCCTGAGGGTGCCATGGAGCAAGGGAAGGCCCAGAGAGGGAGCTGAAGCAGCACAGCAGAAAGTTAGTGGGTTCTGTACTGGAAGCGACACATTTATTTTTCTTTAGACTGCAAAACAGGTGGTACAGGGGCGGGGGCGGGGGTGGACCACCCTTGCAAGTCTCAGGGGACAAACTTGCTTCTGTGATTTTAGATGTCATCTCTAGTTTTAGATAGAGCTGGGTTAAGAGAGACCTCCTTCAGATAGGCAAAAGGGTGATGAGGGGCAGGTGTGGGGGGGGCAGCCTCCTGGCAGGAGGGGCCAGGAAACAATGTCCCTAAGCACACTGCGGGGGGGTGGGGGGGTGACTTTGCTGCGGGTTGCCCTGTTGATAGACGCAGATAAATGAGTTGCTCAGCAGCTTTTCCATCTGGGGTCAATCTGGCCAGCTTGTTCTCTGGTCCACTTTTTACCCCCACTGTAGCAGGGTCTTCTCCAAGAGGCCGTGCAGTGGGAAGCAAGTAAAGATGGGCTTCGAGCAGAGTTAGGAGAGACGAGGCCAGCGTGCGCTTGTCTCCATACCTTTGGAAAAGCTCATCAGTAATTTGTCCGTTGTTGAATTCATAATTCGGGTCTTGTAAGCCTGGGCAGGGGAGGGGTGGTGGGAGCTGGTCCGTTTCTCTGCAAGACAACCGCCTAACTGCTGAGAGAGTGTGTGTCCTTTCGGTTATTGCCTAGCAGACAAGAACTAGGGTGAAATATCCAGGAGGTGTGAGAGTTGAAAACAAGCATGGGGTGATCTGGCTTACATCATGGGGAAGAGAAATCCGGGAAGGTGGATGTCTCCCCCTCTGCACCCAGGCGACAGCCACCCCCCCAAACTAGGAGCTGGCAGTCCCGTACTTGGGGGTGGGGTGGCGTTTGTAAGGGCAGGTCTGAGATTCACAATCTGCAGGTGCAGTTTAATGTGTCAGCAGAGGAGACCCAGGGGATGCCCCCATCCTTCTGGGAGACAGATTGGGGGCTGCTTCGGAGAGTGTGAGCTCTGTCTGGTTGTACTAATTGGATTCTTTAAGAGAGAGCCTTCCAGGCCCCAACAAGATGACAGTTGCCCCTTTTAATTACTGGGAAGCGTCTCTGAATCAGCCTCTTCCCCAGGGTGGCCTGCAATACAAGCTTTCTCTGGGGGTAGGGCCGGAGGCAGCTTTCTTGGCTTCATGACCCCGAGTTCTGGGAGCTGATTAAGGGTGTGCTACCAGAGGTGCGGGCTTTGAGCTCCAGCCACTTCGGGATCAGGCACCTCCAGCGCATCTGTCAAGAGCACAATCTAGGAACAAAGAGGTGTTAGGAAAAGGAAGTCGGAAGTGAGCCAAGGGCACTGGCTCTGGGAAGACCAGAGTGCAGGGTGGCACCAGAGCCCTTGGTTCCCCTGACCAGTGCTCGTAGACTGGAGAGGCAGAGGCTGGGGCCAGTGGTCCTTGTCTGCCAGCCCGCGACTCTTGTTTGGAGCACTGGCGTTGGACCGTGGGACAACGAAGGCTCCTTCTAGTGGGCTGCATTCTAGAAGTTCCACAAAACATTCTCCCCGTGGAAAGTGGCCGGGATTAGCACAGGGCTGTCTGAAGAGGAGTCTGGGAAAACTGGAGAATTGTTCCTTTCCCGGCTTTGCTGAAATTTCTTTCACTCATTTTTACCCAAATGCAATGAAACCAATAGGTAAAAAACTAGTACCATATTGGAAAGAGAAGGATCTAGACGTCTGCCTTGGGCAGGTTCGTGAATGGCACACGTTTGCGGTGGGACTGAGGATGAGCTACTGCAGGCCTGGAGTATGGAGGGGCGGTGTTTGGCGGCCTGGGGTTCCCGTGTGGTGGGAGAGGGTGTGTGCACAGGGCTTCTCCCACCTTGTTTGTTTGTTTGTTTGTTTGTTGTTTGTTTTTTTTGACTCTTGTGAAGTTGTTTTTATTGCGATATAAGGGATGGGCTGGGAAAGGCCATGTAGGGCTTCTCCCACCGTGACTGGTGATTGTCTTAAGGGAACATGAGAAGGAGGTGCAGAACCGGAAGAGAGGCAAGCGACCCAGGGGCCGGCCAAGGAAGCACACGGTGGTGTCCTGTAGCCGGCACTCCAAGCTCAAGGTGGGTGGCCGCTTACGTCCTTGCACCCCTCTGCACAGAGTGGAAGACAGGGGCAGGAGGGTTGAGGGCTCTGGGGAAAGGGGATCGCGGTGGCTCTTGCACAGAGGCCCATCCCTGGCTCAGAAGACCCTTGCCTTCTGTCTCCTTCCTTGCTGGTGGCTGTATGCCTCTGCCAGCAGGGGGCAACAGCAAGCCCCTGCCCCTGCCCCTGCCCCTGCCCCAGCTGATCCCCTCCAGAGCTGGTTTCTTGTTCGTTTGATGTCCCTTCTGCACCCCTTTCTAGGGGATGGCAGGGTCAGACTTGGCTGCTAACCACTTTCTTGGGGGAACAGGAAAGAACAGGACACGCATGCACACAGTAGGTGCTCACAGGTTCACCGAGTAGACACAGCTAACCAGGGCAGCCCACAGGGATGCACGCTTGGGGGTCCAGGGCAGTGCCCTCCCTTCAGCAGTTCAGAGGCAGGATGGGGAGCAGGGTCACGGCCCCAGTCTGGGATGTGCCTAGGATTCCTTTCTCAAGGGCACTGCCCCAGGATCCCGAACCCACACTGTGTGGCCAAGAGCTCAGTCACTTAGAGAAACCGCCCTTTGGGAGGCTGTGAAAACCTCGCTTTAAGGCTTGTTGGCTGGTCCGCACTGGCCTGCTCTTCGCAATCTTCCTTTCAAGCAGGACAGTGGGAGCGGGGGAGGGGGGGGCCTGTGCCCTCGGGCTCTCATCAGCTAGGGGGACCAGCTGGGGGCCACGGAAGCGGCATAGAGGCCATGGGCCTGGCTGGGCAAGGAGGCTCTGAGGCTCCGGGTTGGACTGGATCGTGCCCACCTGAGGGCCCGCAAGCTTCACAGCAGGGAGCAGTGTTGGCTCTGTTTCCCTAAAGTGTGCCCTTGGAAATGCCAGCCCAGTGAGACACAGGGTGCCCTGACGCCCAGAACTCAGGAGGGCAGCAGTTTGTTCCCCTGTGTGCTGGAATGTTCTGAAGGGGTCCGATTTGGAAGTGGGAGGATTGGAGCAGGATGTCCCCTTGCTTCAGATTATGGAGCGCGCTGACACGCGCTAGCTGGCCTGCCTCGTGAGCTCTGCGCTTCCCTTTCTGAGTTGTCTGCTAGGGAGCCTGGAGCCAAACCAGCATCCCCCTTCAAGGCCGTAGTGCCCGGGCCGTGACCGCGCATGCTCTTTGCTTCGTTGCTCGGCTCTGATTTCACAAACCACCTGTTCTTTGTTCTGCTCATTCTGCTTTTATTTTTTTTATTTTTATTTTTTTAAAGATTTTATTTATTTGAGAGAGAGAATGAGATAGCACATGAGAGGGGCGAGGGTCAAGAGGGAGAAGCAGACTCCCCGCTGAGCAGGGAGCCCAATGCGGGACTCGATCCTGGGACTCCAGGATCATGACCTGAGCCGAAGGCAGTTGCTTAACCAACTGAGCCACCCAGGCGCCCCTTGCTCATTCTGCTTTTAACTGCATCTCGTGGAATCTCACAAGGACTTTTCCGATCTCTTCCGGAACAAGCTGGTGCGGCATCGCTCCCTCCTGGCTGCTTCTCTGGGGTGGAAGCCACTGGAGGTGTCAGCTTTGAGGTGTCCTGGGGGCCCGGCCTTCCAGCCGGTGACACCTGTGCTCTGTCTTTGCAGGAACCTGACGCGCCCTCCAAATCCAGCAGCTCCTCTTCTTCTTCCACGTCTTCCTCCACCTCCTCCGATGAAGAGGACGACAGTGACTTAGACGCCAAGAGGGGTCCCCGGGGCCGCGAGACCCACCCGGTGCCTCAGAAGAAGGCCCAGATCTTGGTGGCCAAACCCGAACTGAAGGACCCCATCCGGAAGAAGCGAGGCCGCAAGCCCCTGCCCCCGGAGCAGAAGGCGGCCCGGAGACCCGTGAGCCTGGCCAAGGTGCTGAAGACCGCCCGGAAGGACCTGGGGGCGCCGGCCAGCAAGCTGCCCCCTCCGCTCAGCGCCCCCGTGGCAGGCCTGGCCGCTCTGAAGGCCCACGCCAAGGAGGCCTGCGGTGGCCCCAGCGCCATGGCCACCCCGGAGAACCTGGCCAGCCTGATGAAGGGCATGGCTGGCAGCCCCAGCCGGGGCGGCATCAGCTGGCAGAGCTCCATCGTGCACTACATGAACCGAATGAGCCAGAGCCAGGCCCAGGCCGCCAGCAGACTGGCCCTCAAGGCCCAGACCGCTGGCAAGTGCGGCCTCGGGCTGGACCTCAAGGTGAGGACGCAGAAGGGGGAGCTGGGGATCAGCTCCCCAGGAAGCAAAGTCCCAAAGGCCCTCAGCAGTGGGGCTGTGGAGCAGAAAGGGGGGAGTGCAGGGGGGCCCCCCTATGTCCACAGTAGCAGCAGGGGCCCTGCCGGGTGCCTGGGCCCCCAGCCTATACCCACCCAGGAGCTGAGCCTCCAGGTCTTGGACTTACAGAGTGTCAAGAACGGCACGGCGGGGGTGGGCATGGTTGCCCGCCATGCCACAGCCAGCAAGGGTGCCCCTGCCGCCTGCCCGGCGGCAGGGAAGAGCGCGGGGGGCGGCCCCACAGCGGGGAGTGGGGCCACCATGCCCTCTGATGGCAGCAATAGTGAGAAGCCGCCTTCCAGGGTGGCGGCTCTGCCCTCCTCTGCGGGCAGGAGGGACTGCGTCCGGGGCAGCTTGGCCCCCAGCAGTCAGGAGGGCCACACGGCCCCCGGGGAAGCACGCAAGACGGCCTCGCCTGGGGAGCCGAGTGCCGGGGAGGAGAGCAGCTCCGACTCAGAGCCCGGCTCAGCCTCACCGCCCGGCACCGCACAAAACCCATCTGTGTCCGTCCAGACCAGCCAGGACTGGAAGCCCACCCGCAGCCTCATTGAGCACGTCTTTGTCACCGATGTCACTGCCAACCTCATCACGGTCACCGTGAAGGAGTCTCCCACCAGCGTGGGCTTCTTCAACCTGAGACATTACTGATGCCCTGCGGCGGCCCGGCTCTTGCCTGCCCTTCTCCAGCCTCTGGTTTTACTTTGATAACTGCCCTGCACCCCCAAGCCCTTTCTGGGGTCCGGGTGGCCTCCTTCTGGGGCAGGCTTGGAGGGGACTTGCTCTGGCCCTGCCTGTGATTTCAGGCAGGGCAGTATCTCGATGCCTTGCCAAGGCCTGGCCTTGCCCTCGTTCCTACCTCGGGGTCTTTGCTTCACTTCCCACACGCCTCAGGACGTCTGCCTTCCCGTGTCTCTGGCCGAACGTTCCTCAAGGCCGTCCCCAGTTTGCTGTTTGAACTGCCCTGCCGGTGCAACAGGGTGGGGGGTTCAGCTTTCCTCTGCATATCCGGGGGACACAGCTGTTCAAGGAGGGATCCAGCTCGGTAGTTCCTGCCCAGTGGTGGGGAGGGAACGTGGACTGGGGTGGGGGCAAGGCCTTGAGGGACTGCTCCAGGGCTCAACTAGGGGGCAGGTAAGGGACCTCGCCAGCCAGGACTCCCCTTCAGAGTGGTGCCCGACTGGCAAGGACCAGGGGGCCTGTCTGTCTCCCTGTCCCTGCCCCATGCCAACAGCTCAAGACTGCGGCCTGAATGTAGGGCAGGTGCTTGCTGTTGGGGTGCTCGGGAACCCTGGTTCACATTAACAACTGCTCCAGTGTTGGCCAGAAATCACGAACTGGGAGGGGGTTGGTCCCAGAGCTGTTTTCACTAGAGCCTCCCCATTTTCGGGGGAGCAGAAGCAGAAGGGTGTCACTTTGGCTGCCCTCCTTTCTGCTGTTTGTGCTGTTCTGTGCAAGGACAGCTGTGGCCCCACAAACTGCCCCCAAGAGCCCCTGGAAGGTGGGAGTGTGGGCAGTCGCTGGGGTTAGGCCCACCCTCCCGTGGCCTACAGGCTTCCGGCTTTGGACAGGTGTTTGGCACAGCTCCCACGGTGCCCACCTCTGCCACGGTCGATGGGCACCTCCTCTCCCTGACAATCCCTCCCACCTTTGGGGATTCCACGAGCTCCTTCCCAGCTGTGAAGCTGTGTCCCTGAATCCTTTGGAAGTGGGGCACGACCTGAAAGGCCAGATCTGCCTGCCCCCAGACGGGCCGAGTCTGGGAGCTGCCTGGTATGGCTTGTGGCAGAAAGGTGGGTCAAGGAGTGGAGTCACCAGGTCTTTGTGATGCCAAAAGAAAAGTGGAGGTGCAGGGTCCTTTTCTGCCTCAGTGGTTGGTGAAAGCCAGCCAGCCCATGTGGGCTCTCCCTCTGTCCTGTTGCCTTGATCACGGAGGAGCCCAGGCTCACGCGGTAGGCTCTGCTTTCTGAGGGGTGGGCCTGCCAGACCTCCAGCTCCCTCATCCCTCACCCTCTGCGCCAAATAGAGATAGCTTTTGTGTGTCTGAATCAATTTCAACAGTGTGCCTTTGGGGACAGACCCGTGTCCAGGACCTTGCTAAGGGGTATCCACATGTGGCTTCTGGGTCACCTGCGTGGTGGCTGTTCTGGGCTGCAGCAGGAGTGGTGCCCATCTTGGCAGATCTGAGAGCTCGGCATCCCAGACAACCAGGCTAGAACTGGAAAGCGGGCAGCAAAGGGGAGAATTGCCCCCTCCATGCTCCACCCCCCAGTAGGCGGGGGGTGGGGAAGAGATTGTAGCTCACTGCACAGTCTGGAAGTCTGGAAGAAAGGGATCCCAGCACACTGGGCTGCTGACACCAGCTTCCCCTCCAGTCCCTGGACACCTGGATGTTCCCTGGCTGTGAATAGAGGGGCTCCTCTGGGCTGCCTTCCCCTCAGAGGGGCTGATGGCCTCCAGGCTCTGAAACTCCCTTTCTGCCAGGCACCGGGCTGCCTTAGAGGCTGCCGAGCCAGGCTACCAGCAGCTCTCTGAGCCCTTAGGGCCACCCTGGGCTTCCGTGGGCTGCTGGACAAATGCATGTCAGCACTGACCTGACATTCTCAACAGCCGGGTCTCCAAACCCCGACGTGGTGCCTTCCTGTTTACCAGCTACTTCAATCCCAAAGTTGACTGCAAACACCTTACTCCCAGCCACTTTGCCTTCTTGCTGTGTTGTGTGGTTTCCTTGGTGCTTGTGACTCCATGTGGTTCATGTTTAAAAGGGTGTGTGCGTGTGTGTGTGTGTGTGTGCACACACGTGCAGGCGTGACCGCCTCTGCTGGAGAGTTGATTGTCATGTTTACCAATAAAAGTAGTACTCTTTTATTTGCTGCTATGTGTGCGTGTGTGCGCGCGCGTGTGTGTGGCATCAGTCACGTCTGGTTGGAGATTCCTTGCTGATTCTGCAGGGTTCCCCACATGGACTGCAGCACAGTGTATACTGAATGGGTGTTTTAGTTGTGTCGCGTCTTTGTTTGCTTGTCATGGATAGGAAGAAGTGGCCAGTCTGTCCTTAAGAAGGTTTGACATATTTTTATATATATTTTTTGGTACCAAAAAGAGTGTGCCTTGGTTTGGTTACACTCAAAATCCTGACGTGACTAAGAGGGCTCTGGGCCTAGAGGTTTCATTAGGGGGAAACGAGGAGGACCAGAGGTTTGGACCAGTGCCAATTGCTGGCTTGATTTGTGTTTTTTAATTAAAAAAAAAAATCATTCGTGTATGCCACTTCTAATTGCTTTAAACTACGGCTGTTTGTTTGCTTTTTTAAAAGAGAGGACAAAAGTGAATATGTTATTGCCCCAGGAAGCTTAGGATCTTTGTGGAAGCAGGATGGCAGCCCAGCCCCCATATTCAATCAGAACCTACCAGTTAGAGAAAATGCTTCCCCCAGGAAGCTGGTGGTGGTTTGGGGGGAGGGGGTGGGAGGAGGGGCGAGGTAGTGCCTAGATGACCAGAGGTTTTGCTCAAGTACATCTAAAGATTCTGTTGCCTTTCTAGTATTTTTGGAAAACTAACACTAGGCATAGGTTGCAGGTTTGTTTTTTGACATTAATTTATTTTGCAGGGGAAAGACATTAGTAAGTGGTGTCGGGGTTTGTCTTACTTTCTGTTAACTTTTAGTATATCAATAAATCTTTTTTTTAACTTGTCAGCCTGGTGTACATCACGCGGGATGCCTGGAAACAATAATCTCTCTTCTCTTGCCCAAAATACTCTGGATGTGGACTGACGGAAACATCCAAGCCTTCGGGAAAGGGCTAGCCCCTCTCCTGGAGTGCGGGACGCGGGGGGGGGGGGGGGGGGGGGGGTAGTGTTTTTTCTAAGCAAGGGGGTGGGGTTGGTTAGAACTGTGAACCGCTACACCGGCAGTTCACAAAGGGCTATCTGGCCACGTCGAGAGATGATTCTGGTGGTCACAACTAGGGGGCAGGGGTGAAGGTTGCTGCTCCTGGCATCTAGTAGGCAGAGGCCGGAGATGCTGCCCGACATAATACACTCACTTGGAGACCTTTCCCAGAAAGCGAGACTTTAAGTTAACCCCAAAGATACTGTGCTGGAAAGCTGCATAACCCGAGTCCACCCCCTGTGCTAACACTTCAGAAGGACACAACTCTGAAACCTCCAGAGGAGTCGCTGTGGCACTCCAGAGGTTTGGAGTCACTGGTGTGCTATGTACTCCTAACTCCTAGCTCATAATAAGGAGCTGATTTGCCTATTCTAGAACCTTCCCTGGGCCTTCAAGGTTTGCATCACCCTCAGCCTGAATGTGTTCATAGATTTCATCCTCCAGGGAGAATCAAGCTCCCTTTGAAGTGAAGACAGAAGTTGGACCTGGATGTTGGCCACCAGCAGTTGAAAGGCTAGTTGGGGCGAAGGCCTGCATGTTTTCCTTGGGGAGGAGGTTCTCACTACAAATAGAAATGCAACGCCCTCTCCAGAAAAGGCCAAGAGAATTGGAAGTGCAACTCTTGCGGCAAGGCTGCAGGCCTGCTTTCTTTTGTTGCCCCTGCAGAGAGGCTGGAGCTGTTTTGTTTTGGAGAAGGTGGGCAGGGATGACGCCTGCCTGGCGGGCCTCTGGCTTTTGAGAGGGCAGAAAGGGGGTGGGGATGGCCAGGAAGGCGTGGGCACGCGGAGCAGGAGCCGGCGCTGCCCCCGGTGGCGAGCCAGGCTTTCGTGGGAGCCCCTGTCTCTAGAGCCTCCGCCAGACGGGTACGGGACCCTGACCCACACCGGCCTTTGTTCGTTTCTGCGCAGTTGATCTGATGGCCTAATCCACCTCGTTCCCAGAAAGAATGGGCTGGGCTGCCAAGGGGCCCGACCCGGCCCGCGGCCTCCCCCGGACTCAGCCCCGCGCCGCCAGGTCCAGCCCAAGGGCGCCTGGCGGGATGGTTCAGCAAGGCTACGGGGATCCCGGCGGCTGATCACCCCCTTCCTCTCCGCAAGGGAGGGCGCAGAGGGGGCGCCCACCGTGGCCCACTGTAGCGTGCTCTGGGGTGGGGGAGATGCGGCTTTCCCGGGGCTGCTTTCAAGACCCAGAAAGGCACTGGCCACAAGCCCTCGGCGAATCGAAAGGCCCGGAGGGGGTGGGCGCCCGGAGAGGGACTCAGGCCATCGCCTCTAGAGGGCGCGCGCGACCCGCGGACTTCGAGCCTCTGGCTCTTCGGACGCGCAGGGGACATTCCCTACCTCGGACTCCGATCTGCCCCGGGGAATCGATTTGCTCGACCCCCACCCCGACTGCTCCCAGATGCCCCTGGCAGCCTCCATTTCCGAAGTGTCCGGAAGAAAGCCCCGGCCCCGACCCACAGCCTCTTCCCTGTGTCCAGGCCCCCAAGGCTGGACGCCGTGGAGCGCCGCCAAACACTGAGCAGCTCCCATCTCAGACTCCAGCTGGATCCGAGGCCCCCTCTGGGCCTGGAGGAGTTTTTGGTGAGAGGAGAAAGTTAGAGCATGAGCCCCCAAAGCGCTGGATGCCGGCCTTCTGGCCGTCGGGTCTCCCGCTCACAGCACAGGGCCTCCCCTAGGATCGGTGCGTTGTAAGCACCAAAGGGACAGAAAAATGGATTCGATCCGCCGCGCTTCAAAGAGCCATAAAGATTCCAGTC